GCGAGCCGAGGTGGCTCTGGGGGCCCCTGGCTGTGGAAGGCAGGCAGGCCAGGAGGTGCTCGTCCCCAGGGCACCCAGCCAGCCCTGGCCACCCCTGCTTCCCAGGACCACCATCTGGACCCACCGTGTCTGCTTCCTGGAGGAGTGGGCCCTGCCCCAGTGGACGTCCTTCACCATCTGGAACGCGGGCAAGCAGGGACGCAGACTGTACCGCAGCCTCACGGCTGCCAGCCGCTGCAAGGTGGGCGCTGCCTCCCAGCCCCTTGTCCCCAGCCCCGGCTCCTCCCGGCTCTGCCTGAGCCACCCAGAACGCTCATCCTCAGGTGGTGGCCTTCTGCGACGTGGACGAGAACAAGATCAGGAAAGGCTTCTACTGCTACGAGGAGGCTCAGGTGTGTGGGCTGCGTGGCAGGCCGGGGCAGCCCAGTCCACCCTGGGCCCCAGGACGGCCCAGGGCCCTACTCCGGGGACTCCACTGGGCCCCGAGGACCAGTGTGCCCCCAGCCTGTGTCCTGCCCCAGGGCCCGAGGTGCACATGGGTCAGCTGAGCCAGCCGTGGCTCTGGGCAGAGGGCCATGGCTGGCACAGGCCGCAGGGGCCCTGCCCTTGAGTGACCAGCGTGACTGTGGTCTCCTTCCAGGAAAGGCCCAAGCCGCGTGTTCCTGTCCTGCACTTCAGAGCTGCCCGGCCACCCTTCGTCCTCTGTGTGAAGCTGGTGAGTGCTGGGCGGAGGCTGCGGTCACTACCCTGGGGCTGGGGGCAGCTCCAGGGGGGCCATCTGAGGAGCCGCCAGTCCCTGCTGGGTGCCACCCTGGCCCTCGAGCCCACAGAGCTGCTGTGCTGCCCCGTCCCTGCAGCAGAGCCAGGGCTCCGGCCATCTGGGCCTCTGTGGTGTGGGCACAGGGTGTGCTCTGCTCTTGGGTCCAAGGTCGACTCAGCAGAGCTGAGCATGGTGCCACACCTGTCTAGGACACGGGCTCATTTCCTGGCCCACGCAGGTCCCCAGCAGTCCCCTACCACCACCACCACCACCCCCCGCCGTGCCACAGTGGTACCAGCTTCCTGCTGGGGCCGAGAAGGCCACTGGGACACTAATGTGTGGCAGGCCCCTGTCCCACTGCTCAAAGTCTCCCCAGTGCCCGCCCATCTCAGGAGCCGTGTCCGGCGCAGGAAGTCCTCTCCCATGTACAACTGCACGGTCATCCCCGCAGAGCGTGCCTCACGGTAGGGCGGAGGCCCATCAGGTTGCTGCTGCCCGCCCTCTCGGTGTTGGCGGAGGCCGAGCCCAGGAGCCTGTGCCTGGCGCCTTGCAGACTGTAGTGTCCTTCCTGAGCCACGTCTGCTTGCCACTGGTCTCAGACCAACAGCTGGACGCTCCGGGTCCTCCCCACTGGTCTGCGCCAGTGGCTGCACCCGCTGTACCTCCCAGGCTGTGGGGTGGCTTTCTGGGTGACACCAGTGGTGGCAGGCAGAGGACCTGCAGGCCAGACACAGGCAGCTTGGGGAAGGCTCTGAAGCCAGGGTCCCTGGCTCACTGCAGGTCACCAGGCCCTCTGCACCAGGCCGAGGACAGGAGCAGGTTCTCCAGCCAGCTGCCCTGTGGGGGCTCCCATGCCTGAGACGGGAGGCATGGAGGGGGGACCCCGGGTTGTGGCCCCTGCCCTGTTGTTGGGATGGGCTGGGGCAGATCAGCAGGAAGGGCTGGGGGGGGGGTGACGCTCCTGGGATGGGGTCACGTGGGAAGGCAGGTCTGGATGACTAGGGCAGGGAGGACAGACTCAGCCGAGTCCCCTGGGGGCCAAGGCCAGACCAGATGGCAAGGACACCCCAGAGAATCTCACCTAATGGGGATGGGCAAGACCAGCACACTGCAGAGCCGCAGTTCCCTCCCTGGCCCTTGGTTCCCTTGAGCCCCACCCCTGTTAGCAGAGGAGCAGAAGTTCACAGTGGACCACCTATCAGGCAGGTCCAGGCAACACAGACCCCGTGGGTGGGTCTGTAAGAAGCAGGGGAGGCCTGACTAAGCCACACCTGCTGCTCCCCCACAGGACCTCACCGGGGGTGAGTTTGAAGAGAACCTCAGGTCGCTGCAGCTGCAGGAGGGCCGGGACTTTGTGTATTTCAGCTGACGGCCATGGCCGCTGCCCTAGTGTGGTCTGAGCGGAGCGCCACTCAGGCTCCAAGACCAAATCATGGCCTCCTTGGCACGTCACCTCATTGCCCCTGGCTGCTGACGACCAGCCTGCCTCTGATGGACTCCAGGCCTCAGGCCTGTCCAGCACTTGGCTGATGTGTGTCGGGCGTCACTGACCTCTCCGTGTCCCTGCGCCATCCGGCGTCTGAGGCCGGAGCCCTCGCACAGCCTGGGTTCTGGCATGTCCACCAGGCCAGCCTCTGCTCACTCCCATGCCCTCACCAGCTCATCCTCACCTTCACTGCAGCCGTGCACTCCAGGACACAAGTGGACGCTGGACTGTGGCCATCAGGGGCACGGGTCAGCAGCACTGGCCTGGCTCTCTGTGGACTCAGAGTGCCCCCCGGGGCTCTGCCTGCCTCTCCTGCACCCTCAGGCAGGCCTGGGCTCCCACCCGCATGTCACCACACCTGCCTTCCCGGTGCTGGTGCAGAGTGTCCTGTGCCTGCTCCCTCCACTGCAGCACACTGGCCACCTCCCCGTGGCCTCCCCTGGCAGCCAGCCTGGCGCTCCGCTGCTGTGCGTCCACACTGGCCCAGTGCTCACTCACCCTGCGCCCCACGTCGGCACAGGGTGCTCTGTGCAGCCGAGATGACGCCGGTGCCTTGAGCTGACCTGCAGCTGTGGCAGGTACCAGGAGGCAGAGCCGTGTCACCAGGGGCCTCCAGCACACGGCTGAGGTGGGAGACAGGGTTCAAGTGGGCCGGCAGGGAGCTGGCCCCCAGGGCACGTCTGTGCAGCAGGGCTGGAAACCAGACTTGGGCCAGGCCTCACCAAGCTCAGGCCGACCCCCACGAGTCAAAGGGGGGCATGGAGGCCTGAGTGGACCAAGAGCGCGTGCAGGCAGGTGGACACCGAGTGCCTCAGCAGGGCTGGGCTGGGGGCCAGCTCCCCTGGCCCACGGCACCCTCCAGGAGCCCTCTCTGCAGGTCTACAGACCTGCCCTGCAGGAGCCCTGCTCTCTCCCTGTGGCTCTAATAAACCGTTACTTTGCCCTCGCCCGAGTCTGTGGATTTCATTCTTCAAAACCACCTCCCCTGGCGTAGCTGCACAGCCCTCCTCTCTCCTTGAACAAGCCGCACTGTGCCCACGGCTTGCTGCAGAGCCCGGTTCCACGGGTGTCACTGCTCAGACCCGGGGTGGCCTCGTGCTCTCCCCACAGCGTCTCAGCTCCATGCACCACATCTGACTCCACCCCTCAGAGGATGAAACCCTGCATTGCCTCCTGAGACCCCATCACACGGATGGACACACATCCCAGTCCCAGCGGGGCAGGCCTTCACTCCTCAGAGCCCTTCCCGAGGCCTGTCCCCACCGCTGGCCTCGATCCCTGCCTTGCTTCTCCAGCGTGCCCGCTCAGCCTGGGCCTGGCAGCCGCCCCAGGCTTCCGCCTCTAGCCTGCAAGAGCATCCAGTGACACCTGGTCTCCTGCCCACCCTCCTCTGTGGCACTGGGCCTGCTTGAGGTCTGCAGGCACCCTCTGCCCCAGGAGCATGCTCAGGAGGGTTCGGCCGGCTTCCCAGTCCAGCGTGGAGCTCGGGGTGGGCAGGCCCCACAGGGAGGGTGCACCCGGCACCACACAGCAGCAGCACATGCAGGCACTGCCGCTCCTCTGAAGACCCCGCTGTGTCCACCTACAGCTGAGGACGGGGCTTGTCTGGCCCAGGGCCTCAAATCCGTCCCCTCACCTGTCAAAACCAAACCTCACAGTGGACACCTTGGCAGGAGCCCTGGCATCCGGTTGCTCTCCGGCTGGAACAGGCGGGTGCCGCTGGCCCGCCCTCCTGCCCAACGTGCTGGCTCTGGCTGCTCTTTGGACTCAGGGCTGGCTCCACCTCAGAGTCAGGCACGTGCTCCTCTCTGCACTGGACATGTCCATGTGGACTCCTGCTCACATATGCCCTGTGGAGAGGCCCTCCTGAGCCCCTTCCCTGAGACACCAGCATGCTGCCCACTGCCCACTCCACTGGCCACTGGCCACATGGCTGTCATGAGGATGACAGGAGGGTGTCCTGGACCCAGGAAGGCTCCAGAAACTGCTGCTGCACAGGGGAGGGGACCCTGGGCCTCTGGTGAGGGTAAGTGCCTGGGCCTTGGGGTCTGGGACAGCAGGGCTGGCTGCCTGGGGTGATGCCCTTTCCTTGGGTGGCAGAGTCAGACTAGAAGGAACTGCTATGTCTTTGATGGGTCCAAGGGCAAGTGACTGTCTCGGGGCTTCAGTGTGTCACTGTCCCCTTGGGCGGTGTGCTCTGGCAGGATGGCAGGGCCTTACGGATGCAGCTGGACCTGGTCATAGGGCCCTCCTGGGACCTTGACTGGCCTTGTCCAGGATGGAAATCCCCAGAGCAGGAGGGAGGCACCTGTCAGGTGGGGAAGGAGTAAAAGCCAGGGCCCAGCGGGCTAGAGCATAAGGACATGGAGCTCCCCACCCACAGGTCCAGTGGCAAACAGCAACACCAACAACGGTGGCCTGGTGCAACTGGGCTCCTGGAGGCCTCAACCCTGACGTGAGGTGCCTCCAACTCTGCGCCCACCACCCCATCCAGTCTCAGCCTCCTGCTCCCTGCAGTTTGGCCCCACTCGCCGGCCACTTGCACCAGAGCATCTGAGCACAGAAATCTCTGGGGTGCAGCCACAGCCCCCGTCTCCAGAGTGCACGGAGCCTCTGGGGTGC